TCTGGCCATGATCTTATGGTTTCATGAGTTTGAGCCCCACATCTGGCTTGCTGCTATCAGCACAGAGCAGGATTCGGCTCCTCTGTCCCCTTCTCTCTCTGACCATCCCCTGCTCGTGTGCACACTATCTCAAAAATAAATGAGCATTTAAACGTTAAAAAAAGATTTTTTTAAGGGGGGCCCTCTGGGTCACTCAGTTAAGTGACCAACTTGGGCTTAGGTCATGATCTCGCAGTTCCCGGGGTTCCAGCCCCACGTCGGGCTCTGTGCTAACAACAGCTCAGAGCCTGGAGCCTACTTTGGATTCTGTGTCTCCTTCTCTCTCTGCCCTCCCCCGCTAGTGCTCTCTCTCTGCCTCTCAAAAAATAAACAAACGTTTAAAAAAATTTTAATAAAAAAATAACGAATAACATTTAAAAATAAAAATTAAAAAAAGAACCTGTTTATTACCATACAGAGTAACAAGAGAAAGGGATCTTCCCTCATTTTTGGTCATGAACATTCCTAAAATAATAAAACATATACACATATAATTTATTTGTCTGTTTAGAAAAAGTTCTGGAAGAATAGTTGCTAATTTGAAACAGTGATACCTCTGAGCAGGCAGAGAGAGAACGAAGGCTGGAGGAGAAAACTGATCAAAGGGATTTTGAGGCTTATCTAGAATTGTTTCATTTGTTTTTTCCATTTTCACTTCTAATATTTTAAATACAAAAGGAGATAAAGTTGCGGAAAACAAATATGTTATTTTTACTTATTTACAACATAAAAGATCTTTTTGCTCCCACTAAAATAGTAATATATAACAAAATTTTATACAACATAAGTATATTCAGAAATATTTAGTAAGAACACTGTTTTAGTGTGTCTGTCTCATTTTTACAAACTCTTGCTTCAATACTTTATATATAGTGATTGGTAGATCTGAATCTAAGTTCAAATATTTGGTTGTTTTGAGGTATTTTTAATATTTTTTGGGGGGGAGAGCACAAGCAGGGGAGGGGAAGAGAGAGGGGGACAGAGGATCTGAAGCAGGCTCTGCGCTGACAGGCTGATGGCAGTGAGCCCGATGTGGGGCTCAAACCCACAAACCTGAGATCATGACCTGAGCTGAAGACAGATGCTCAACTGACTGAGCCTCCCAGGTTGGCCCCAAATATTTGGTTTTAATGATTGAGTTAGACGAAGGTCAAACTGCTTCAGGTGTGTTTTCTTTGAATCATGAGTCCATTTTCCACAAGGCTTTTTCTGTTGGAACACTTGGTGGACTAGGTTGAGGGCATGTCCCCTTAAAGTAGCTTTGCAGTTTATTTTATCAGACATTTTATTTATACATTTATATAAATACCTTTATATAATTTATATTCTTAACTCTTTTCATTGTGAACTATATCCAATATACAAGATACTATCCAGTTTGGTTTTTTTTTAATTTTTTTTTCAACGTTTATTTATTTTTGGGACAGAGAGAGACAGAGCATGAACGGGGGAGGGGCAGAGAGAGAGGGAGACACAGAATCGGAAACAGGCTCCAGGCTCTGAGCCATCAGCCCAGAGCCCGACGCGGGGCTCGAACTCCCGGACCGCGAGATCGTGACCTGGCTGAAGTCGGACGCTTAACGGACTGCACCACCCAGGCGCCCCGATACTATCCAGTTTTAACAATATTGAAAACCTATGCTAAGATTGTAATATTAGCAGAACCTCAGAAGCTTCCTGATCATACCCTTCCTTCCCCAACAGGCGGGACCAGCTCTGGGCTGTGTCCATCACTCCCTTAACTTCTCTTTCCAGTTCTACCATCTATGTGTGTATCCCTGAACAGCAAACTGTTTAGTTTTGCCTGTTTGTGTACTTTATATATATGGAATGTTACTCATGTACTTTTCTGTAGCCTGCCTTCTTCCCTCAATATTGCTCAATAGTATGGTGTTATTTGCTTGCTTATATATTTTTTATTGTGGTAAAATTGCATAACACAAATTTTATGATTTTAGCTGGGTTTTAGGCACACAATTCAGTGGCATTAAGTACAGTCACATGGTTGTGTGATATTGTGTCTTTGAGACTCATCCGCATTAGTGATATTTTCATTTCTCCTAAGTGTTCCACTCAGTGAATATTCCACTGGGTGAACATACTACACTTTATTGTTCAATCTACCACTTATGGACCTATGGGTTCTCTTTTTCTTTTTCTTTTTGTTTGCTGTTACAGATAGTAGTGTTTGAACCTTCTTGCACCTGTGTCCTGGGGCACATGTGTGAGAATTGTTAGTGCATATAACTACTGGTAGAATGAATGGGTTTTACTTGCTTAATTTTCTAGAAAGAGACATAGGAAGGTATTCCTTGTGTAATGAAATTTCCATTTAGAAAAAGAAAAGCAAAGAGAAGTTGGGATGGCTTCATAAAGCGGAAGAGCAGGGAACAATCTCTGTGAGATAGGAAGCAGAAAGGAACAGGAAGAGCAACCCAGACATGTCTGCAGGCTGAGTCCAGAAGGTGTTGTCAAGCATTCATTCAATCCAGCACATGCACCATGCACCAAATATGTGTCTGTCTCTGTAAGTGCTAGAGTTAGCAGTGGACTGGAACTCAAGAGACCTAGGCTTTCTCTCAACTTTGCCACAAAGAGCAAATTATTTCACCTCGTTGGCCAGTGGTTCTGACATCCGTAAGATGAGTAGATACACCGGGAGGATCAAAAACCTTCCATCCAGCTCTGCTGGTTTGGGATCCCAGGCTGGTTGAAGTAGGAAGATAAAGGCTTGCCAGGAGTAGTTCTAATCTAGGGTCCAGACAGGAAATAACTCTGGATTCAAAAACAAAAAGGACCAACGACAATTACTGGGCTCGGCTCTAGTGAGCCAGCAGAAATGATGTGATGGTAAATGTTTAGCAGCTGACTCTCTGGGACAGAGAGTCCTTGGCTTGTAGTGGCATTTACTCATTTACACAGTTGTAAATACTCCCACAAGGGCCAAATTGGAAAAGACACACTCCCACATAAAGCTAGAAACCTTTAAGAAAAATCTAGAAAGACCCACTCTACAACACAGAGCCTCCACAAGGAAGCTTGCCTGCCTCTGTCTGTCTTCCTTTTGGGTGGAGAAAAAATTAACTTGAAAATTTGCAACTATAAGCCTGTGATCACCTAGGTCGAGGGTTCAAATTTGTACAATCATGATTGAGAAACCCCCTCTGCCTCTGAGAAAATAACATATAAATTGGTCTCAGGTGAGTACTATTCCCTAGAATGTCTGATAAAATCACCTGCAAAGCCACCTTGAAGGGACATGCCCTCAACCTGGGCCACCAAGTAACCCAACAGAAAAAGTGTTGATGAAGATAGGCCCGTGATTCAAAATTAGAAAGCACACCCAACCGGGGCACCCGGGTGGCTCAGTCGGTTGAGCATCTGACTTCAGCTCAGGTCAAGATCTCACAGTTCATGAGTTCAAGCCCCGAATCAGGCTCTCTGCTGTCAGCACAAGAGCCCACTTTGGATCCTCTGTCTCCCTCTCTCTCTGCCCCTTCCCCACTTATGCTCTCTCTCTCTCTCTCTCTCTCAAAACAAAATAAACATTAAAAGAAAACACACCCAACCTAGAGCGCCTTTTTCATCTAAATCAGTCATTAAAACCAAATATTTGAACTTAGACCCAGATCCACTGGTCGCTATATATAAAGTGTTGAAGCAATATTTTGTGAAAATAATAAAGCATATTAAATCATATTGCTTTTACTAAATATATTATTACTAGTATATTGTTATACTGTATAAAATGTCATTATATGTTAATGAAAGCAAAAGGATCCTTCATGTTGTAAATAGGTAAATATATTATCTTTAAATATTGTTATCCCCAACTTTACCTCATCATTTTTGTATTTTTATATGTGACTTATGCCATTTTGTCCCATCTTTTTTAATGTCCATATACTTACATAGAATTTGTATTTGAATAATGATCATAATTTGCTTAAAAATATTGCATACATTTGGGGATACATGATCAAAATCATTTGATCACTGAAGTACAAAATCAAAAAAGTTTGGAGACCACTGAATTAGAAATATACTTTTTTTTTTCCTAGTGCATATGGGGACATTTATAGCTACATCCTAGACCACAGACTAAATCCCAAACCAGAGGATCTATATGTATTAGTTTTCTATGGCTGCCCTAACAAATTACCACAAACTGGATTAGCTGAAAAGAATCCAAATTTACTATCAGAGCTCTGTAGGTCAGAAGTTGGAAATGAATCAAAATGTCAACAGGCTGCATCGCTCCCCGATTCTCCCTGGGGGGCTCCAGAGAGAATCAGTTTCCTTGGTCTTTCTAGTTTCTGGAGGCCTTCCACATTCCATAGCCCATGACCCTCTTCTTCCATCTTCAAACTCAGCAATAACAGGCTGACTCCTTCTCCTGCTGCCACCCCTCTGATTCTCTCTTCTGCCTCCCTCTTCCACTTATAAGGACCCTTGCTGTTGTAATGGGTCCACCTGGATAGTGCAGGATAATCTTCCCATCTCAGGGACAACTGATCAGCCATCTTGATTCTGTCTGCAACTCTGATTCCCCTTTGCCATACAACATACTCAGTTCCAATGATGTACACATCCTTGGAGGGCCAATATTCTGCCTACCATATTACACATACAGCTGACATTCTCTGACCACAATGAAATAAAACCAACATTGATAAAAAGGAAACATTTTAAACCTCATTGATCTGGAAATTTTTTAATTTTTTTAAATGTTTGTTTATTTTTGAGACACAGAGAGAGAGAGACAGAGCAAAAGAGAGCAGGGGAGAGACAGAGAGAAGGAGATAGAGGATCTGAAGCAGGCTCCGAGCTGTGAGCATAGAGCCCAAAGCCCGGCTCAAACTTATGACCATGAGACCATGACCTGAGCTTAAATCAAGAGTGGTCACAAGCTTACCCACTGAGCCACCCAGGCTCCCCTGAAAAAAAATTTTTTTTTTTAATTTCAGACGGGTAATGTGCCGACGTCATAACAAGGTTTAAGGGTGGCACATGTCACACAAAAGCATGACCCCCCAATCATCATGCTTATGAACTATAAAAGGATCTGAAAATTTTTTTAATTCTATATATTATGCAATGCTCACCACCATAAATATAGTTATCACCCATTAGGTGTTATTGCAATATTATTGACTATACTCTGTATGCTTCACTTTTAGTCTCTTGTAAGTTATATTTTTTAGTTATATTGCAACTGGAAATTTGTACCTTTTAATCCCCTTCACCTATTTCACTCATCCCTCCACCCCCATCCCCTCTGGCAACAACCAGTTTGTTTTCCATATTTATAAGTCTGTTTCTGTTCGCTGTTTGTTTTTTATGGTTTTTATCCTTCTCTGCCTGACTTATTTCATTTAGCATAATCCCTGTAGGTCTCTTCATGTTGCAAATGGCAAGATATCATTCTTTTTATGGATGAGTAATATTCCATTGTATATATATCACATATTCTTTATTAATTCATCTATTGCTGGACACTTGAGCTGCTTCCATATCTTAGCTATTGCAAATAATGCTGCTATTAAACATAGGAGTGAATATAAGTTTTCAAATTTGTGTTTTCTTTTCTTCGAGTAAACACCCAAAAGTGGAATTACTGGATCATATGGTACTTGCATTTTTAATTTTCTGAGGAACCTCCATACTACTTTCCAGAGTGGTTGCACCAATTTACCTTCCTAAAGGAAGGTAGCGCAAGAGTATTCTCTTCTCCACATCCTCACCAACACTTGTTATTTCTTGTCTTTTTGATACTAGCCATTTTGACAGGTGTGAGGTGATATCTCATCATGGTTTTGATTTGCATTTCCCTGATGATTGGTGATGTTGAGCATCTTTTCATGTGCCTGTTGGCCTTCTTTGGAAACATGTGTAATCAGGTCCTCTTCCCATTTTAAAATCAGATTATTTGGATTTTTTGGTGTTGAGTTCTATAAGTTCTTTATATATTTTGGATATCAACCCCTGATTGGAAATCTTGCAAATATCTTCTCCCATTCAATAGCTGCCTTTTCATTTTGCTGATGGTTTCTTTTACTGTGCAAGTTTTTTTTTTTTTTTTAATTTTCCCAGTAGTTTGTTTCTTTGTTGGTTTTGCAAGAGAGAGAGAGAGAGAGGAAGAGGAGCAAAGGGAGAGAAAGAGAATCTTAAGCAGGCTCCACACTCAGCTCAGAGCCCAACACAGGGCTCAATCCCATGACCCTGGGATCATGACCTGAGTTGAAATCAAGAGTCAGACACTCAACAGACTGAGCCACCCAGGCATCCCTCGTTAGCTTATTTTTGCTCTTGTCCCCCGCCCCCAAGGAGACATAGCCAAAATATGTTGCTAAGGTTGATCTCCAAGAGATTATTGCCTAGGCTTTCTTTTAAGAGTTTTATGGTTTCAGGTCTCACATTTAGGTCTTTAATCCATTTCAAGTTTATTTTTGTGTATGATGTAAGAAATGATGTAGAAATTTTAACACTTTTTTTTTAAGTTTATCTGTTTTGAGAGAGCGAGAGAGTGAGAGAGAGCGATTGGGGGAGGGGCAGAGAGAGAGGGAGAATCTCAAGCAGGCTCTGTGCTGTCAGCACAGAGCCTAACGTGGGGCTCAAATCATAAAACCATGAGATCATGACCTGAGCCAAAATCAAGAGTCAGGCATTTAACCAACCAGGCACCCCAATGATGTGGAAATTTTAAAATGTACTTATAAATAATATGTAGTTCAAAAATAAATAACAATGGGAAAAAATAATAAGCTGACATAATTAAAACACAATATAGCAAACTTATGATTTAATATGTTTTATTATTTTCACAAAATCTTGCTTCAACATAGCCAAAATAGTTCCTAGAGTGAAATTTATAGCCTTAAATGCAAACATTATAAAAGAAAATTTTTAATTAATGAACTGAGCATCCAATCCAAGAAGTTAGAAAAAGAATGGCAGAGTAAACCCAAATAAAGTAAAAGGAAAGAAATAATTTTTTTTTATGTTTATTTATTTCTGAGACAGAGAGAGACAGAGCATGAGTGGGGGAGGGGCAGAGAGAGGGAGACATAGAATCAGAAGCAGGCTCCAGGCTCTGAGCTGTCAGCACAGAGCTCGACGCGGGGCTCAAACTCACACACCATGAGATCATGACCTGAGCCGAAGTCCGTCGCTCAACCGACTGAGCCACCCAGGCGCCCCAGGAAAGAAATAATTTAAAAGCAACACGAGGGGATGCCTAGGTGGCTCAGTCAGTTAAGTGTCCAACTCTTGATTTCGGCTCAGGTCATGATCTCATGTTCATGAGACCGAGCCCCACGTCAGGATCTCTGCAGACAGCACAAAGCCTGTTTGGGACTCTCCCTCTCTCCCTCTCTCTCTGCCCCTCCCCTGTTTACATGTGTGTTCACTGTCTCTCAAAATAAATAAACATTTAAAATAAAATTCAAAATTAAAAAATTAAAAGAAAAAAAATACACCAGAGAGTAAAATGTAACAAAGAAAACAAAGAAATAATGGAAAAACACAATGAAATCAAAATGAATTGGTTCTTTGAAGCAATTAATAATTAGATATATTTCTGGCAACTATATCAAGAAAAAATGAGGAAATTATAAGTAAACAATAATAGAAATGAAAATAACTGTAGACCTAGTGGTGATTTTAAATATTTCCACCCATAAATCTAAAAGAGATTAAATAGATAATCTCCCAGAAAAATATAAAACAACAAACTGACTTAGAAGAAACTGAAAACCTGAATTAAATCAGCAGTGAAAAACTCACACTCAAAATACACACACGTATACACACGCACATTCTACCAAGACTTCGAGGACCAGATCATCCCTATTTTATATCACCTGTATATAAGAAAAACTCTTATGGCTTAAGAAGAGAAGTGGCCAAAGAAAAAAATAGGGTGGTGTCTAGAAACCTAAACCAAAGGAAGAAACAGTTCTCAGGAAGGTGGAGAGCTGGCAGACCCCACATACTTCCTGGCTGAAGCATTCCTCACCCCATAAGGGACACGCATCTGTTTGCTCCCTATCTCTCCCCTTCAGGGTGCTGCAGTAATGGCCTTTACTAAAAATTTTAGGGGCACCTGGGTGGCTCAGTCAGTTAAGCGGCCGACTTTGGCTCAAGTCATGATTTCGCAGTCCGTGAGTTCAAGCCCCACGTCGGGCTCTGTGCTGACAGCTCAGAGCTTGGAGCCTGTTTCAGATTCTGTGTCTCCCTCTCTTTGACCCTCCCCCGTTCATGCTCTGTCTCTCTCTGTCTCAAAGGTAAATAAATGTTAAAAATAAAATAAAAATTTTACATTTGTCGTTGAGATTATTTGGTCAATTTCTGATTCTGTCACTGGTGTGTCAATTACATGAGGGCAGAAACCACATGTTTGTTTGTTTGTTTGTTTGTTTGTTTGTTTGTTTGTTTCATCTTTGTGATCCATTACCTGGCATAGAATGTATGTGCAAAAAATTCTTGTTGAGAGAAGAATGGAATTTGGGAGGTCAATGTGCCCTCAGGCCCCCTGAAATTTCAAACTTATAATTGTGGATAGAACTGTCAAGGAATATAGCTGAGGTAGACCATCTAATACTCAGCAAGTAATACTCACTTAAGTGCCAGGAGATGCTAGGAGCTGGAGATGAGAAACTGAAAAGTGGTCAGAGGTTGGAAGAAATGCCCACAAATGCTTGGTCCCCTTTGACTGAGGAGTCCCAAGAATGCAAATTATAGAAGTGGGAAGTGAGTGCACCCCACTGTGCTGCCCACTTGGCTACGTGGTCTCTCAAAGAGTGGCTGGGAAGGAGGACCTAAAGTGGTGGGTAGCGGGGAAAGGAGGGGGTGGCATCATCAAAGAAAGGCAGGAGTGGAGGACAAAGGAATGGAATGGGGGACAAAGAAGGCTAGAAAAACTAAGGCATTTGGATATTAAAGATCAGGAACAGTGATTTCTGATGCCTATGTAATGTAACAGAACTTCCTTCTAATGAAAGATCTTGGAGAGAATTTGTTCCTGTGAGTACTTTGACTGATAGATTTATAAAGGGCCGAGACTGATTTGGAGATTAGGAGCTGAAGACAGATGAGGTATGCTGCCAGACAGAACATTTCTGAAAGGCAGACTGTGACAGAAAGGGCAGGGTGGGGTGGGGGCGGTGTCAGCAAGATCGTGCCTTTACCGTCTTGTAAGGTAGCAAGATCACTGATTAATCTCTGGGGCGGGAAGGACCATTGAGAACAAGAATATCCAAAATACAATTTTAGGTTGTATCTTTATGATATATAAACCTTCAGGGGTGCCTAGGTGGCTTACTCGGTTAAGTGTCCAACTTTGGCTCAGGTGATGATCTCACAGTTCATGAGTTCAAGCCCCACATTGGGCTCTTTGCTGTCAGCACAGAGCCCACTTCAGATCCTCTGTCCCCATCTCCCTCTGCCCCTCTCCCATTTGCTCTCATGCTCTCTCTCTCTCTCTCTCTCTCTCTCTCTCAAAAATAAACATTAAAAAAAAAAACCTTCTGGGGCGCCTGGGTGGCTCAGTCGGTTGAGCGTCCGACTTCGTCTCAGGTCATGATCTCGCAGACCATGAGTTCGAGCCCCGCATCGGGCTCTGTGCTGACAGCTGGGAGCCTGGAGCCTGACTCAGATTCTGTGTCTCCCTCTCTCTCTGCCCCTGCCCCGCTCCCACTCTGTGTCTCTGTCTCTCAATAATAAATAAACATTTCACAAATTTTTTTAAAAAAACAAAAAACCTTCAGTAAAAGTTTTGCCACACCTAACAAGCTTCTGTTTATAGCTGGTTTGGAAAATTCAAGAAAGCCCTGTGTCTCAAATTTGGAACCTGTGCGAGCAGAGGTAAGGGAACAGCCAGGCGCACAGAAGCAGGAACAGGACTTTAGCTGAAAGAGGAGTCAGAACGAGAGGTGACCGTAACAGCTGACCCACCGAAATTTATCCAGTAGACAGTCCTGTCTCCTCCCCATTCTGCCCAGGATCTGCCCTGCTTGGAAGCTGAGCAGTGTCTTACCTAGATGTCGAGGAGGAGAGTGGCCCCAG